TACGCATGCATCCTTCACGCAGTGACGTAACGCCTATGCGCTCTTCTGCGGGGCCCCAGACCTCTAGGGGTCCATAAGTCCTCCTACCCAAAGGGTCCTCGATCTAGCACCTTGAGCCAAAAAGCCTTTGTTGATACATAATAGCATACTAATGTTAATTAATTTTTTTTGTTTGTATACTTGGTTAGCCTATACATGGGTTTTTAATCGTTTGTAATTTTAGTATTTATTATTTAATGCGTTTCTTTGGTATTATTGTACATTTATTTTATAGTTTATACATGACTAACATATGAAATTATATATTGAATGTTATTTTTGAAAAATCTGACTCAAAATTGCGTTGAAAGGAACTAAACTGGGAACTTATATCCTTTTGCCAAAGTTTCTCAACATGTCTTGAATCAGAAAACCCATGGCAAAAGGGCATAACTGACATTTTGAGCGCAAAAATCAATATTTATAGAAAAAATGTGTGCTACACTGGAAGAGACATTATTTGTCTATTTGATTACATTAACCATGAAATCAAATACTGAAACACATTTTAGGGCTAAATAAATTGCACGTTTTGCTTAATATCTCCAAAACAGCAAATTGTCAGTTATGCCCTTTTGCCATGGGGGGCAGAATAATGGTTAATTGAATTATATTTTATTTTAAAGCGCTTACGTACAGTAAAAATGTATTTTTACAGTATTTTTTTTAATGAAATAATGCCGATATTTCTGGCAATACAGTACAATATTCAGTTTTAAAACACTTGAAATAATCCTGACAACACATTTTTAACATGTTGTTATAATATTCATGTAAGTATATCAATATTATGGTTAGTGAATTATATTTATATTTTATAGTGTTAACTGTACAGTAAAAAATGAGTACATTAATACATTATTTTTTCTTTATAAAAAAAATGCTGCTTTTCTGGCAATACAGTACAGTACATTGAGTTTTAAAATACTTGAAATAAACCGGGCAACTCATTTCTTAACATATTGTTAAACTGTTTATGTAACTAAAGTAACATTATGTTCATGTCTTATGAATGTATGTATGGCATGTCTTATAGTTTACTCTAATAATTTCATTCATAAATTAATAAACTTTATATTTCATTATTTATTTAATTTATTTATTTCATTTATTTGAATAATTTATTATTTAAATTATCTATCACTATTTATTTCTATTATTTATTTATTTTATTATTGTATCATTTCTTAATTATGGTTATGGTTTATTAATTAATCAATTAATTAACTGTATTTAGTTATTATTTTATTAATTCATTATTTTTTAATTTGTTTGCTTATTTTTTTATTTGTTTGTTTATTTACATTTTTCATGGTTTGCTTGTTTGATTATTGACTTATATAATTACAGTACTATATCTAAACGATTCATAATTTAATTATTTCATTATATTTAATAATTAAATTATATATTACTGATGTAATTTCGTTCATTAATTAATACATTTTATATGTCATTATTTATTTAATTTATTTATTTCATATTTACTATTTGAATAATTTATTATTTAAATTATCTATTACTATTTACTTCTATTATTTATATATTTTAATAATGTATAATTTCTTAATTATGGTTATGGTATATTAATTAATTAAATAACTGTATTTATTTATTACTTTATTAATTCATTATTTTAAAATTTGTTTGCTTATTTTTTGTTTGTTTATTTACATTTTTTATTGTTTGCTTGTTTGCTAATTGGCTTATATACTTATTTATTCGGGTTCGTTTATGCGTGAATCTTTATTTATTTGTTTATATTATCTTTAATTTGTGTAAGTATAGTTGCTTGTATATTTTATATTTGTTGTTTATTTGTTTATTTATTTGTTTATTTGTTTGGTACTATAATATAATTACAATTTACAAACAAACAATTTAATTAATTAAGTATCAAGTAAGCAAATATAAAGTACACAAAAACAACATGAATAAACAGACAAGCAAATAAATATAAATAAACAAACATCGTTCTGGTGTCTCTAGGCCTAAGCGTTTTAGTAGGCCCTAGGCCTAGGCCTAGCCTAGGCCTATAGATCAGTTTTCAGCAGATCATGGTCAGACCTTAATGTTGCTTGCACGAAAAAATGCAACCCTATTAAGAACCAGCGATTCACTTTTTTTTTTAATTATCATCGACGATTCACTTGTTTCATCATCGGATTCACTTATTTCATCACCGGCGATTCACTTGTTACATCATCCACGATTCACTTGATTTATCATCGACGATTCACTTGTTTCATCATCGACGATTCACTTGTTTTATCATCGACACGATTCAGCTTGTTTTATCATCGACGATTCACTTGTTTCATCCTCCACGATTCACTTTTTATCATTGACAACTTACTTTTTTAATCATCGACGATTCACTTTTGTCATCATCGACGGTTCAATTTTTTTTATCATCGACAATTCAGTTCTTATCATCGACGATTCACTTTTTTCATATCGGCGGTTCACTATAGACGATTTACTTTTTTCATCATCGGCGGTTACTGGTTGTCATCGAATTAATTGTTGCTTAAACGTTGTTCCATACTATACATAGAATATAAAGGCTATTATTTTTAACCATTGACTGAAGATTTAAATTTAAGAAAGTTAATATAGTTTTAGTGATATTCATACTGTTTATATTAGAACACAATTCCAATGTTTATATTTTCAAGTTTACTTAGCTCACCTCCGGCAGTAATGTCCCTCTCAACATAACCAATTTTGTATTTCTAACCATTGAATATGTCATCCTTGATTTTTCGAAGTCCTCGTTGAAAATCCTTGCACGCCATACAATAGATAAATGGATTAATGGTAAGATTCAAATCAAGCAGCAACACACACACCTCAAGGAATGTGTAACTAACACAATGACATACGAAGAAATACATCAACAAACCAACGCAGTCTGGAGTTATAGTAACAATATAAACAAATGCAATTAAGATGAGTGTACTAGTCAACAGATCTGATTCGATTCTTTGAGCTCGTCCACCATTTCTTGATTGAATTTCATTTGGAAGTTTGTGATTAACTATTCGTGTCTTGTGTAACTTTAACAGCATCTTCACGTAACAATACAGCATAATGCAAATGGGTACCAGGAACTGAAATGCAATTATTAATATACCAGCTACAGTATGCATTTCCTCAAGAATACATATTTTCATGTTTGGATCAACGTCTGCAAATATAAGGATAAACATCATTATAAGCACACCACATACATGGGGACTTATGAGCGACAGATATGTAATTTTCCCACTCAAGGATTTTTGGCGATACAATAATGGATGGACGACAGCAATATACCGTTCGACTGTAAGCACAACAAAATTGTAAATAGATGTTGCAAACGCGTAGAAGAAGAAAAACCGCATTTTACAGAATAGGGTTCCACCAGTGCCATCAGGAATCTCAATGTTGTAGAAGATCAAAAACATCAAAGAGCCAATCAAATCAATCACAGTCTGATGGAGAAGTAATTTGAAAGACAAAGACTTTTTGTAAGTCTTGTTGTAGACGAACACAATTATGACAATTGTATTTGCAACGATACCAATACTACCAAATACCCAACGAGCTATGACCAGCAGCATGGGATCTCGCAGTTCCATGCGAGATGTGTCGTTCGAAGATATACTCATCAGGGGGGTATTCATCATAGCTTCTTTCGTTCAGGAAATAGGCCTAATTTACACAGTACAGTATTTATCAAATGGTTCTTGTATATAATACCGTTAGTAGTAGCAATAAAATAACAATTTTTGCTCGGAAAAGCGTCTCAACACTGATCAGATCTTATTAGTTTTCAACTACTGCATTCAAATCAGATCTGATCAGTTCTTATCCGTTAACACTCCGTATTAGCAGCCTATTATATTCTATACCTTCAGTACAGTTTCAGCCAGTCATATTTGTTTACGTATACCGGCTGTGATCTGATTGGATCTGATCAGTTTGCAGTCGTTGGAAGAAAGATAACGGGGGTGCTTTCAGTTCATTCATTCACAATGAACTTTATTCAATCAATTTCGTTTATCATATTTTTTTTTACAATTTTGAACAATCCGCAGCTGTTTATTACGTTGACATCAAACGGTCAGTCATGCGTGACCAAGTTTCTTGGACCGTTTAATATTCATGTTTTGGTTTTAAAGCCCAGGAGTGTCAGTGCAACCAGAGCAATTCCTGCCTATTCTGATCAGAGACGGAAGTAAACTTAATATTACAAAGGCTGGCTGCCTAGGCCAAGCCCCGGGGCCTAGCCCATACGTAGTTCGAGAAACGTAAGTCGTAAATTACGATGTCCCTATAGGGGGATCGTGCCGCACCCCCGTTTTGCCACTAAAGTTTAAACTTTTTAATGCAAATCAATGTTATGTGCTACTGACATACCTATTCTCCTATTCTAAAACTGGTGTACCCCACCACATTTGAAAAATTCTGGATCCGCCCCTGTATACAATATCCCGTAATATTTTACTAATCTGCAATAAAGTTCTGAACAACCTGAAATTTATCAGCTTTCATATGCCCTAGTGGAAAGTGAAAGACGAACAACCTTGAAATCAAGCAACGCCTTAAGCGCAACAAGATGGCACGTGGTGCTTTAGAGTCATTCCGTATGGTTCTAACACACTCTCTTGTCCGATCCCCCTGAAATCGCCCAATATTTTGCCTGTTGGGGGTTCTACCTGAGATAACCCCCACAGTGCAATTTTTGGCTCCGCGCCAGCATTTTCTGATGAGCAAATTTTCATGAGATTTGACTGTTGATATCTCTCTTGAAACTCAATGTATTGGACAAATTCTGGTACCGTTGGATAGACAAGGTTATCTTTCCAATGATATGCAACTCAATGATGTCCGGACTAGTGAAAATTATATAGGTCAAGTCACACTTGACCTTTGACGCAAAATATCACAAAAGCATATATCTCGATTTTCGGGAAATTCACACCTTAGTTAATACACTTAGCCCACACATGATGTCCTTAAAGTTTCATTGTGGGCAAATGAAATGTATTAGCTCTAGACTACATTTTGTGTCTAGGTATTGATAGTTTCACTGAGTTTCCAGGAATTTTGCTGTTTGATTCTACGAAACTGGCACCATAGTACAGTAAAAATCAGGGCTTCTGGGACCATGGTTACTCTGCTGATTTAGCATCACTAGAGTATAGATAAGAAATTGAGCGAATTAGAACTTCCAGAAAAAGGCCGGAACATATTTTTTTGGCGGCCATTTTCAATCTGGCCGCCAAAATTATGATAAAATCATAACTTCACTTATCCAATGAATCGACAGAACAAGTGGTTGTCATTGACTACCAGAGTAGTTGACAAGCTTCAACTGTGCAAAATAAAAGGAGGACCCTGGACAAGAAGGGAAAAAATAGCTGTCCTTATATTTCACTTTCACGTCCCTTGTTTTTTTTTTTTCTATTTTATTACTAGCTAACCGTCTAATGGGTTATGTTTGGTGGCGCATCCCGCTAGACGCGACGCTATTACACTGCAGTATTCTTGGTCTAGTTTTTCTTCTAAATTACTGTTTTGGTCTAATACTTAATGTTTGATGTGTTAAGTAACTTTTCTAGATGTATTGTAGACCTGGTTTTGTACTTTTTGCATTCGGTATTTGGCTTAAATCATTCTTCATGTGTCTAGCCACCCCTGTCAGTAGTGCAAGCCATGTTGTTCCGGTGAGTTATACCGTCGAGGTCTTGTTCGAATTACGTAACAACAATGCATGTTGTGACACGGCCATTGCTGAAATCCCGGACGAGTTATTGAGACAAAACACAAATTCCACAATAACAAATTCGAACGTACAGTACTTTAAAAAGAAAAGAAAGAGAGGAAGAAGAGGTGGAATTAAACAACGACTTCGGAGAAGATCAACTCGTTTAGCATTGCCTACTATTCTCCTCACAAATACAAGGTCAGTAAAAAATAAAACGGACGAACTAAATGCTCTGATAAAATTTGACCGAGCCTATCGGGATGCTAATCTTATTTGTATCACCAAAACGTGGCTCAATGAGTATGTACCGGACTGTAGCGTAAATATTGAAGGCTTTTCATGTATTCGTGGAGATCGAACTGCAGAATCAAATAAGTCTAAAGGCGGTGGAACGTGTTGTTATATAAATAAGAGATGGTGTTCAGATATAACAGTCATCAGTAAACTTTGTACAAGTGACTATGAATTACTGTCGTTATCACTTAGGCCATTTTATCTGCCTAGAGAATTTGGATGTATCAAAGTCATCATTGTTTATGTGCCTGGAAATATATCGGTTGCTGCAGATGCTATTGCTGATCACACACATATGCTTCAAAGCCGTTCCCCTGAGAGTCCTATATTAATTGTAGGTGATCTAAACCAGTGTAAACTTAAACATCTAGATGTGTATAAGAGACAGGTTCTACATAAATGACAAAGACATATATGTGTCATGCTCAACAAGAGGAGAAAACACACTTGACTGTTGTTATTGTAACATATCTCATGCTTACAAATCTTTTAAGTTGCCTGCAATCGGTGCATCCTATCATCAGGTTATACAGTTATTACCTACCTATAAGAAAAAATTTAAAACAAGCAAGGTGGAAACAAAGACAATTAAATTATGGTACCCTGACCATATTGAAAAACTCAAGGGTTACCTAGAGGCTACAAATTGGAGCATATTTATCGACAACAGTCGTGATATTCATGAATTGACAAATACTGTTACATCATATATTTCCTTTTGTGTGGATCTTGCTATTCCGCTAAAACTGATTAAAGTGTACCCGAATGATAAGCCCTGGCTAGATTATGATGTGAAACTGGCTTTTAAAAAATAAAATGCTTGCATTTAAGAATAATGACAAAAATAGTCTTAAAATAGCTAAATCAAAATTAAAATCTTCCATTAAAAAGGCTAAACAGAAATTTAAGAGAAAAATTGAGCAACATTTTGTAGCTAATAATTCTAGAGAAACTTGGAATGACGTAAAATTAATAACTGGGTGTAGGGCTAAAACCTCCTTTAAAATGCTCCCAAGTTTTAATGATGAAAGCTTAGCCTCATCCCTAAATAATTTCTATACTCGTTTTGACGACAGAAACTTTGATGAGGAAAATATTACCTTTTGTAGAAATTTGAACTCCGAAAATTGCCCCGTTAATATAACTGTTGAGGAAGATATAAAACTTTTTCGTAAAATCAAAATTAGGAAAGCAGCTGGACCTGATGGGTTGGCAGTCATACTTATTCGGGAATGTGCAACACAAATTGCCCCTGTTTTCCAATATATTTTACAGTTATCACTCCGTCAATGTGTTATTCCTTCTATTTGGAAACATTCTTTAATTATTCCCATACCGAAGTCGTCAACTGTGAGTAATCTAAATGATTACAGACCAATTGCACTGACGTCACTGATCATGAAATGTCTGGAGAGGTTTGTAGTTAAGCAAATAAAACCAGTTATAGAACCGAAACTTGATCCCATGCAGTTCGCATACAGGGCGCATCGTGGTGTGGAGGATGCTACAGCAACTCTTGTCCACTACACCAAAAAACATTTAGAAACATCAAATACATATGCAAGGCTTCTCTTCATCGATTTCTCTTCCGCATTTAATACTTTGCAAAGTCATGTGCTTCTTCCTAAACTTCTTAAATTTGGTATCAATCATTCTATTATTCTCTGGATCAGAGACTTTCTTCACCTCAGAACACAACAGTATCCATGCATTAACACTTTCTCTTATACACATCTAGATGTGTATAAGAGACAGCTGTCGTACCCTGACTGAGAACTGCATGGCAATCAAATACGCTGATGACACCGTCCTTGTCAGTTTAAACAATGGCCCCCAATCCCTTAATAATTATTTAAATGATGTGACTTATTTTTCAAATTGGTGTAAGAACCATTTCCTTAAAATCAATCTAAAGAAAACATGTGAACTTATCATTGATTTTAGGAAGAAAAATAGGTCAGATCATGAACCACTGAATATTGATGGTGAACAGATAAAAGTTGTTCCCGAGTACATATTTAGGTACTGTGATTGATGAAAAATATGAATGGTCCAGTAATACACTTAGACTGTACAAAAAAGGCCAGCAACGACTTCATATGTTACGGCAACTTAGGAAATTTCATGTTGATAAAGAAATTCTAGAAATATTCTACCAATCAATGATACTCAGTGTGATTTCTTTCTGTCGGATTATATGGGCAGCTAGCTTATATGAAAAAGATAAGGGATTGTTGGCGAAGATCACTAAAAGCGCGGGGCGTGCAATAGGAGTAGATTCTTCTAAGCTCAATTTTAAGTATAATGCAGGTGTTCTCTCCATGGTAAGACGCATACTATCTCAAAATGATCATCCACTCTACAACGAGTACAATTTTCTCCCATCCAATATCCGTATTCGCTCTTTACCTAGTCGTACTAAACGCTATAACAAATCGTTTGTTCCACATTCTATTGTAATTTACAACAAATATGTTGAAAGATAATTTTTGCTACCCATGGAGAGAACACCTTGATCATATCATATCAATATCAATCTAATTAATAATTGTAAATTTTATTGTATTACCTAAA